TTATAACGGAGCCTAGGCAGTGTGTATATTTTCTGAAAGCGGAGGACGAGTCGGTTCCAACGGTGACCATCATGGCGTACAAGATGCTCATCTACAAAAGTTATTAATTGTTTTATGTTGAAAACTCGAAAATCTCCAAAAATCACTAGGACCCCCTTCACCCAGGCACTTTTTTTTAATGGACTTTAGGCAAAGTATTAGGTTGTCCCGAAAGTTTTGTCCGTTTTTTCAACCTATCATAAAAATACGTGGAATAAAGATAGAGAAACGCTCTACACTACTCGGCGCATCTTTTCCTCCTCTTTCTAAATGTCATGCTTCCATGCCGATTAATTTTTTGTTCACTGAGAAAACGCCGAAATTTCGAACCCATGGTTTTTACTATGTCCAAGTTTGACAATTTTTCACAATCTTCATTTTCAACTTTTGGAAGACCTTTGATAGCCCTCAGATAGAGTAAGCAAAGGGCAATGCAATGCAATTATTTGGCATATCTAGCTGGCTTTTCAACATTTTTAAAAATAAATTTTTCAAAAGTCTTTACTTTTGCGAAGTTCTAAAATACAGAAACGCCTCGAACACTAACAAATCATCGGATTTTGAAGCTTTCAAAAACCGATTACGATTATTCACTATTTTTACGAAGCAAATGAGCGTTTACAGCTTCGAAATATAAGATTTTGCATTCTACGTGTACACGCTGGGGTGAGGTCAAATTCAAGAATTATGGAAATTTTATCGCCAATGATCCCGCAAATTGGGGAGAAAATACACTCACTGGAAAGAGGAGGAAAAGCTGCATCGAATAACACCTTAGCTGTGCGCCGTTTCATGATCTCTGGCTTTTGGCATCACCAAAAGTGGAATTTGATAGCATCAAAAAATAATTCTAAAAAATTTTCAAGGCTGGCTATAGATGCCGCAAAATTGCATTATATTGCCCTTTGTTTGCTATATCTACTCAGATAATCGCCGGGGGCAGGCGGTCTGCAAACTCGCTTTTTTCTGCAAGCGGTCAGCAAAATTTTGGGGCGTGGCCAAACCTTCAGCGAGCGGTACTTCCGTGTTCTGCCAGCGGGCAGCAATACAGCATTTTTTGCAAGCGCTCGGCAAATAATTTTTTTCAGCGAGCGCTGGCCAAACTTTCAGCAAGCGCTCGGACTCTTTTTAGGCATTTTCGGGAGTACGTCGAGCGCAAGTAAGACTCTATGTGGCAGAAGTGTCACCGTTGGTTTAATTACTCAAGTTTGAGGTACTTTCTCCCAGCGGAAAGTACCTGCTCAGATAATCGCCGGGGGCAAGCGGCCATGCGAATTTTGAGCAAGCGGGCACCGGAAAAATAGTTCGCTGATTTTTTGTGGTCCGCTTGCAGAAATTTGGAATAATTTTGGCCAATTTTTAGACGAACGCTCGAAGATCTATCGCGGTTTTTCTAAACATAAGTTGCGGCACAGTGGCCGCATTCTCGCGGATTTTCCGCGAGAACATGCAAAATTATTGAGAGCCGCACGGTCCTTTTTGAAGGACCGCACAGCCCTCAGGTACTTTCCGCTGAGAGAAAGTACCCCAAACTTGGGTAATAAAACCATCGATGGCACCTCTGCCACATAGAGTCTCATCTTTTCTCGGCGTACGCCCGAAACTGCGTGAAAAGAGTCTGAGCGCCTGCTGAAAGTTTGGCCAGCGCTCGCTGAAAGAGATTGTTTGACGAGCGCTTGCAGAAAATTTTGTATTGATGCCCGCTTGCAGAAAACGCAAATACCGCCCGCTGAAGATTTGGCCACGCCCCGAAATCCTGCTGACCGCCTGCAGAAAAGCGCGAGTTTGCGGACCGCCTGCCCCGGCGATTATCTGAGTGGGGGTTGCGCGGTCCTCCACAAAGGACCGTGCGGCCCCCGAAATTTTTGCATATTCTCGCGGAAAGTCCGCGAGAATGCGGCCACTGCGCCGCAGCTAATCCATAAAGAAACCGCGACTGTTCTTCAAGGATTCGTCTTTAATTTCGCCAATTTTCTTCCAAATTTCTGCAAGCGGGCGGCAAAAAATCAACGAACTATTTTTCCGGTGTGCGCTTGCTCAAAATTCGCATGGCCGCCTGCCCCCGGCGATTATCTGAGTAACTGTTGCCAAAGCTTTTCCGAAAGTCAAAAATAAAAATTGTGAAAAATTGCCAAACTTGGACATAGTAAAAACCATGGGTTCGAAATTTCGGCGTTTATCTCAATGAGCAAAAGAGTATTCGGCATGTGGGCTTGACAGTTAGAAAGAGAAGGAAAAGATGCGTCGGATAATGCTTAGAGCGTTTCCCTATCTTCGTTCCACGCGTTTTTATGATAGGTTGAAAAAACGGACAAAACTTTCGGGACAACCTAATATATATTTTCTGAAAGCGGAGGACAAGACGGTTTCAAAGGTGACCATTTTGGCGTACAGGATGTTTATCTTCAGAAGTTACGGATTTTTTATCTTAAAAACTAGTAAATATCCAGAAATCACTACCCACACTCTTCACCAGGCACTTTTTCAACGGACTCCAGGCAAACTATATATTCTCTAAAAGCGGAAGACAAGGTAGTCTTAAAAACATTTCCCTTGCTGACGTTGCTGTTCATCTACAGATATTATAAGTTTCTTCTTTAAAAAAATCGTAAATGTTTAAAAATTGTCTAACCCTTTCCGAAACAAATGTTATCGCGTGCACATCTTCTATGGTAATTCCAAAGACAGGAAGGGTGATGTAAAAAAGGAAAAGGAAATGTTAAAGAAATGCAAGGTGCTGGTCAAATATAATTGTGTGCTAGCAGCAGCACATCGGTTCACAATTAAGAAAAAAGATAACCAGTGATGGTAAGGAATAAATTATGAACTTTGACTAGGAAAAATGATGGGAAAACACCATGGCTCCCCCTCCCCCCCCCACCGTCGACATTTTATGATTTCTCTACCAAGTGAAACACCCTTCACCCTGGAGAGGCCGTTACCACTGTGACCCCCTTCACCTGGAGGAGTCATTCTCACCTTATCGCACCTGTGGTGTGTGTGCGTTTGTGTGTGTGTTTGTGTGTGTTTGTGTTTGTGTGTGTGTTGTGTGTGTGTTTGTGTGTGTTGTGTGTGTGTTTGTGTTTGTGTGTGTTGTGTGTGTTGTGTCTGTGTGTTTGTGTATGCGTGTTTGTGTGTGTGTTGTGTGTGTTGTGTGTGTGTTGTGTGTGTTTGTGTGTGTTTGTGTTTGTGTGTGTGTGTTGTGTGTGTTGTGTGTGTGTTTGTGTGTGTTGTGTGTGTTTGTGTGTGTTGTGTGGGTGTTGTGTGTTTTTGTGTGTGTGTTTGTGTGTGTGTTGTGTGTGTGTTGTGTGTGTGTTGTGTGTTGTGTGTGTGTTATGTGTGTGTTTGTGTGTGTGTGTTTGTGTGTGTGTTGTGTGTGTTGTGTGTGTGTGGTGTGTGTGTGTGTGTGTGTGTGTGTGTGTGTGTGTGTGTGTGTGCGTGTGTGGTGTGTCTGTGTGTGTGTGTGTGTCGGATCCACGCGATATTTCGCGCGCCAAGATGGTCCTGTAATTGGACTTCTTTCAAAGTCATGGTTTCGTTTAGCAAGTAAATCCGCAAACCATATACCCTAGCTCGAAAAGTGAACAAAAAGTTTACTTTCGCTCAAGATTGGCGCCAAAAAGGAATAATTGCGTAGATGATCGATTTGTCAAGGTTTTACCTGGGAATGCGGGGCAATTTTTGCTCAGAGATGTGATTCATGGTTGCCATCATTTTTATGGCGAAAATCAAGTCATTATAACCCCGGTAACTGATTCAGAATCGCATTTAATCTTTTGGAGAATACTTTATTTCCCTTAAAGTCACCCATCTTACATGAAAAGCTTTTGGAATTAGTAGTTGTTTACATTTCATTCGTGATGATCGGCATCGCGAGGTCAGTTTCAAAGCCGTCATTTTGCGACTACGACGTTGGTATGTGGATAGTACAGCCAGTGCGAGCCTCTGCGAAGCAGAGGTGACGCAGTGGTTTATAACGGGCTTAGAATTGTTTACGTTTGTGTGTGTGTGTGTGTGTGTGTGTGTGTGTGTGTGTGTGTGTGTGTGTGTGTGTGTGTGTGTGTGTGTGTGTGTGTGTGTGTGTGTGTGTGTGTGTGTGTGTGTGTGTGTGTGTGTGTGTGTCTGAATTTCTGTCTGTCACGAAATTCATAGAGCGAGCTAGAGCCAAGGTCTTGAGGATTTTTTGCGCACAATATGCACCCACTATGTAGGTTCACTATGCGCAAGGGCGAGCTGATCCGAATAACGGGTCCCTTAAAAATTGCGCGTCAAACGGGTCCACCGGCTTTTTTATCGCAATACTGAGTCAATATTCAGAGTTTTGCAAAGTTTATAGTTCTATTCGAAAAGTAGATTCGCAGGCCACAAACTCTAGGTTAAAAAAGTGATCAAAAAATCCATTCCTTCGCAAAAACGACGCCAAAAAAGAACAATAGCGTTTAAAGTCAATTTGTCGAAATACCTAGAGAATTGAAGAGATTTTTGCTCAGGCATGTACCCCACTCTGTTTAGTGCACTAATAGCAGTTATCAAGTCGTACTGAATTCAGAAAATAATTCAAATTGCTTTTATTCTTTCGCAAAAAATTTTTTTGCTTTCAAAATCACCGATCTAATATGGAAAAGCTTCAAGAATGAGCAACTGTTTACAATCCATTTGTGATGTTTAGCATTGTGTGATGAGTCTCAAAGTCATTATGATCATGAGGAAGGCAACGGATAGTAGAGCCAGTGCAAAGCTTTGCGAAACAGAGGTGACGCACTGGTCTCTCGTATGACCGAAAATTATTTTCTTTTGTAAGGGAATTGCATTGAATGAAGTTCGACCCGATTACCACAACGAATCAACACATGATTTGAGGGCCGATCATTTTTAGTTAGTTGACGACGCAATGAGGTTCGTCGCTGACAACTCATCCAGCCTGCGGGCAGCAGGGCTACTGCAAGATTCTGAACCTCGATATGCTGCGTATCCGAGCACCATTGCAGTCAAGAAAGTATCTTACAGCTGCCCGATTTGCTTAGTTCTCTTCCAAGATTAATTCGTTTGTACTCCAGCTATTGGCATCTATTATTCTTTTCATTCATCTATAATTCTACACCTGAACAATTTTGTGACGAAAACAAACCACCAACTGGAAACACATCGGACTACAAGAAACTTGAGCAATTATTTGATGAACGCATATACGGCAAGGTAAAATCTTTTTTTGAGACCGATTGCATCAACATCCTCGCTGGAGAGGGGAACGCAGTTCATAAGAAAGCTTTTCTAAAGCAACTAGACATCTGATTTTCTCGCCTATCGATATGTTCCTGCTAATCTTTATTGTAAACATGCGGCACAGGAGCGACAAGTCTTACAAGCTGCACTCACCAACTTTTTGTATGATACTCTCATAACCAGCGGTCATCGTTTCATCCCTTTTCATTTTTGAAGTTAATAAACATTCCATGATCGTACTGCTCAGACACTTTTTCCGACGGCCCGCGCGCTTTCATGAGCCTACCGTGCGAGCGGCGCGCTTATATTTGTGGGCGTGGCATCGTTTCCGACGGGCGGCGCGCCACCGAAACCTGCCGTGCGAGCGGCGCGCCTTGCCTTCGACGGGCGGCGCGCCATCAACAATTATTTAAGAACAACGAACATGTAACTTAACAAGACGCGTAAGCATCATTTTGAATTCGTTGTTAGCCGTAGGAGGTTGCATTTGTTATCGCATCGTTGGTTTCTTGTCCGTTTTGCAGGCTAAGGCTTTGGCCATGCTTTGCCCGTGTTGCCGATGTTTCCAGCGTTGCCAGTGTTGAAAGTGTTGCCGGTGTTGAAAGTGTTGAAATTGTTACCGGTGTTGAAAGTGTTGAAAGTGTTGCCGGTGTTGAAAGTGTTGAAAGTGTTGAATGGAGATCATCAGTCTAGCAGTTTCATTCTTTCTCGAACGATCTCACCGGCTGGTGAATACGTTGGAAGTGGAACTGGGGAATGAGAAATGAAACTGAAATGAGATGGGGAATGTTTTCGCATGCAAAAGATCCTCAAAGAAACTTTTTGAAAAGTGGACGGCTTGTCTGAAATAGGCAATCTCCAATATTTGAAAACGCTGCAGACCTCACTTACCTAGGTCCTTACTCACTAATCGCAAGCGCGGCAGGATTCGAACTTAAACACATTACTACTCAGACGTTAGCTTTCTCAAATATTGGAGATTGCCTATTCCAGACAAGCCGTCCACTTTCCAAAAAGTTTGTTTGAGGATCTTCTGCATGCGAAAATCTTCCCCATCTCACTTCAATTTCATTTCTCATTCCCCAATTCCATTTCCAACGTATTAGCCGGTGAGATCGTTCGAGAAAGAATGAAACTGCTAGACTGATGATCTCCATTCAACACTTTCAACACTGGCAACACTTTCAACACTTTCAACACTTTCAACACTGGCAACACTGGAAACATCGGCAACACGGGCAAAGTATGGCCAAAGCCTAATCGTCTCCATTCTTTGTAAGTTTTTTCTGGTTCACATTTGTACAGTCATTGTCATCCATGTGCTCCCTATTCTGTAGCATCTTAGCGTCATTGCGTTCGCTATTCGGCTATTCGGGCCCCAAAATTTTTTGTCATGGGTTTCGCTCAGACTTGGCCCAGAAAGGGTATCTGACTGCTGATCACGAATATCACCTTTTCTCCGCAGGAAAACGCCTCCTTGCAGATTTACGGTAGGCATACGGTAGGGGGTCAAAATCATAGATTTGCCCGAAACATGGCCCAGAGGGATTATTTGGCCCTGATGCCAAGTACCACATTGGTTTTAAACGTAGCGTCATTTTCTCGGTTACGGTAGCTACACGTAACGGGTGTACGGGTGTTAAACGTAGTTCTGCCTGAAACGGGTGTACGGCGATCCGGATGATCGTGAAGCTTCGCACACACGACCACCGCCGTGCACTACACACCCTGCTGCGGTTTTTGCCTAAGCAAAGCACAGGGGAAAGATACATTTGTCGTTTTGTGATTTCGACCCCTACCGTAACTATGCAGGGAGACGTTTTCGTGCGGAGTGGTTTTTCTGGTGCCATCACCAAAGTTGTTTGCTATCTTTTTTCTTGATATTACAATATTTTGAAAGATGTATCGGGCCGCGGTCAGTCTCAAGCGTAAATCTGGAGGACCACAAACGTATGCGATGCCTAGACCTGTTTTTCCACCGTGTCTCACTGGGTATGTTTGTTATCTGGTTTTATTACCTCTAGTAGTTTCGTTTTCAGTAGAGAGAATGCTTTTGTGTGAAATGTTGTCGAAGACGAAGGGGCTCCCTCAGATATCCAGATATTCAGAGCTGCTCAATCTACCAGAAGAAATAGAAACGTGCCGAATGTGAGTCTTTGTGAGTCTGTGAGTCTATGAGCGAGTCTAAAGATGGTTACAAATTTCATAGTGAATGACAAATCTGGTTTCAGACGAGATATACGGTCCTACAATTACGAGTCAGGAAGATGGATAGCCAATAAGGTGAGAATCTATGCTTATTTAAATGATGGTTTGACACTTCTTTCAGCGCCAGAAAAGTGCCGCACCAGCCGAAGATTGAGCAATCTGAAAAAGGAGTAGTTAGCAACATTACAATCATCAGTTCATGCCTCGTCAACATCTGCCAAAATTCCTTCAGCCCAACATCTTCGCCTGAAGAAAACAAATTGATTCGTCTGTTTTTATTTTGCTTTCTTTGCTCAAGGTTTGCATGCCTTATCTTTCGTTCAGTATACTGGTACCTTGATTCAAGCATCTATTCAGGTCTCGGTATTTACTGCCTAATCAGGCACTGGTCATTATTCTATCAGGTTCGCGGGGGTTTTTTTAGTGCTCAGACAGGTCATTCTTACCGGTGCCTAACAGTGCTTTCTCAGTATCAGCATGGCTGCTGTGCTTTACGTGTATTCAACAGGGTGCTTAGCGTAAAAGGTATTGATGATATTATAATTGTTGCCTGTTGTGTTCTGCTTTTGATTCTGTATTATGTCGTTCTGTAAGTGTTTGGATAATAAATCTGCCATCATCATACCTGTATACATGTTTGGCAATAAATCTGACACTATGAGGTCGTATTTCAATGACAAAATATGAATTTTATCAAAGGATTGCTATCTGTATCACAATAAGGTCCTACAGTGCCTTCGAAGGAGCGGGCGAGCGGCGCGCCTTCAGCGATCGAGCCGAGTACCTTCATTCCACGGGCGGCGGGAGGCATGAGCGCTCGCACGCTCAAGGCGCGCGGGCCATCGGAAAAAGTGTCTGAGTGATTATCTCACCCAGTGTTTACGAGGAAATGGTTACAACTTAACGCAACCAATTCAAACAACCTGTATATCGTCGGACTCGCCTTAAAGCGGATTTCAATTACGTGTTCACTATCTGCTGGGCGGCTATTCGGAAGGAGAAGTACAAGACAAAACCTTGGTAGAACCCTATTAAAAATGTAGATAACATGTCAAATTTTTTTTACACGAGGCAGAAGGTTGACACTCCTTCCTATGAATTTGGGGCCAAATATGGCACAAGAAAAAACTTACTTGAAAAAATGGGTCCGGATAGCGGAAAGTACCCAACTTTCTTTGAGCTGTTTTCGTTGATTTCGAAGAAAGAAAAATGTTGAAAAGAAAAGACGGTCGGCTACAGGGGATCATTAGGGGATCGTACAAAAAGCTGGAAAATGCGGCTTGTACAACTTCCCGCTCCTGCTCAAGATGTTTATAGCAAATGTAGTAAAAGTACTTGCAAATAAATAGACAGCGTGGAATCCAGATGCCAGGAAATTCAGATTATAAAGTTCCTAAGCTGCGCTCTCCTTCTCAGTGGGATGTTAATGTATGCGGTTCTTGATTTGAAAAGAAAATTGGAACCGTACTGCTTCTTGGATTTTATCACTTTTGTCCCGATCCAAAGAAGAATGCACAGGGTCAAAGCCTCCATTCCAATTTCTCTATCATGAACATTGTATTGTATCACATGTGCGAAGCATTATCGTGATTGAGCAAAGTTAGTCTAGCGGTTAGTGCTCTACGTAATATAACCGTGCTGAAGATCACGGTTTCGATTCCACCTTGAGCCTGATTTGCGAAAATTTGCGAAAATGCAGCCCACAATTCCAGCGTCAGGCTGCGACAAGCCGTCTGAGTGTGAAGCGCGAATAAAATTCAAAGCCAAAAGTGCAAGTCACTAGCCATCGGCGGGAGGCGGAGCTTTAGAGAGTCGGAGTTAGGATGGCTCCGCTCTAGAGAGCGGCCTCCTCTTCCCTGTGGCTGCGCGCTTTCCGTCTGAACCCTCGTGAGTGAATGTTGTTTTGATCATGTCTTCTGTTATTGTGGTGTTCAATATGCTTAACCACGTATTTGCTTCGCAAGTTCTCATAATCTCTTTTCAATATGCTTTACATATTTACTCTGCATTGCTTTTGTTGCTTATAGATAAAGGTGTGGTTAAAAGATTCGTATTCTTGAAGAGTAGAAACGGGAATATAAAGGATCGAAGTTGTGTATAAACTTCATTAATGTTGACGCCCGCCTACCCACAATTCGGAAAGTCTACTCTACGGAACCGCGGGCGTTATAACCTGTGTCGCCACGGGCTCCATGCGAACGCTTTTGTCGGACCCGATAGAAAGCTTGGACATTACAACGGACCAATCCAACATCGGATCGACCTCGTAGAGGGAAGTGTCATACCGGCTCGGAAAATCTACCGTGTTCCTTTGGAGAAACGCATGGAAATTCAGAAGCAGATCGTGCAAATGTTAAGGGACGGAGTTATCCGCGAGTCTACACATGTACCGTAAGCAACGATGGTGGAAACCTAAAGAAGACAATTTCATACAAATACCAGGCAGTCACATCTCAGCGGAAGGAGGCCTATTAAAGGAAGGTCGCAGGCAGGATGAACACACCATGGATGAAATGGAGACTAACGGATTGTGCGACGGGCGAATGCCAGTAGTCCCAAGTCCTCAAGCCCTAACTGAACCAAATCGTTTTCCGTCCAGCAGCATTCTATGGTAGTAAGTGCTGGCCATGTCCCATGATTGGTGACGACTCGCACAGGCGACGTGAAGGAGGCATATGCCCGGCGCAACGCCGCGACAACGCGGCAGGCGCGAAGGGCAGTACCAGCATGCCCGTCATGCAGAAATTCGGAAAATAGTGGGATTTGACTGGAGACGCAGAGAGGTCGCGGTGCCGACAAACGACTGAGAGCCGAGAACGTCCGGGGTAGTGGTCGCCGCCCGCTGTCTGTAGATGCACGCAAAGATTCAAAATCCATGTCAATTACAAGTAATATGAACAGCTAATAGCTCGCGAGGCGCACAGCTAATCTTAATCCCGGCTAATATTTCTTTGATATTCGCTTCGTCTATACGACATAAGTCAATTTCGATCAACATACATCTTCAGGTCCTCTCCAGCCAAATTTGCTGCTCTAAATTCTAGCTTCGAAGTACGTTTTGCAGCCAGTTTGCCCTTGACGATTTTTTGCATGCCTCAATTTCATAATTTCTTACAATTTATGCATTTTTCACCACAACTTTTGTCTGTCTTCCTGCTTTCACTAACTGCGCACCAGTTGCTTTCCTTTCATTTGAGTAAAGAAACGTTTTGGTGCTAGGCTAATGAAATAGCATAAACTCGTACTGATCAGATTAGTAAAATCATAAATTTGTATATTTTTCAATAAGTCTTCAGTATTTTGTTTGCATGCTAACGCCGAAAAGCCTTTAGTTCTTATAAGCACCAAAAAAACTTAGCATGCTTGGGTTTTCCCTTACCACTTTGCAAAAGATTTGCCGTAATTGTAACTTGTTTTAGTGGCCGTATTAATCAACGAACCCAGTGGGTTTCGCTACCCAGTGGGTAAGCGAAAATAGTCCCGCTGGGTTGGATCGATATTCACGAAAAGCACTACTGGGTACGCGAACCGACTAGATTCGTGAATACCGATCTCGTGGGTTAAGCCTACCCAGTGGGCGCCGGTGCTGATGAATACGGTTACAGATGTCTAGCTCAGAAGAGTGCGACATAGGCACTGCGCTATCCGCAGTGGTAATTCCTATCTAGATATCGCAAACCTAGTGTTTACAATTGCAAAGTAATAGCTGTATGTATGCTCACAGACGAGACTCGGCTTTAATGAGGCTGCTTACTAATTTCAACAATTAGCTTGAGGACCTATCCATCTACTTTATGCATCTTTCTCTTGCTCATAGTTCTGGCAAAAACTTGTGCGTAGCACAACTTGTGCATTGGCTGCGCGCGCTGTTCACGTCGCTCATTGCGAGTTCGGCGTCGGGCGTTCACAAAGCTTTTGCGGCGGAGCCAACGTACCGTCGTCCCAAATTGCGACTCGTTTTAGGCGGTCACATTCGCGCCTTCTTTCCGTTGTGACGACTTGAGAGGATTACTACGGGACAAGGAGCCACAATGAAGGACCATATCTGCTGACACTGCACGAGCCAAAACAAAAGTAGTTCCAGTTGCCTAGAAAATGCAGGAGAAGAGGTACGGTGGTGGAGGCATGTGGCAGAAGGGAAGAAAGTTACATTACGAGGCCCTGACAATAGAGGCACTAGGTGAGACCTAGAGTTAGACCCAAGATGAGCTGGATGGACAATTAAGGCCGACCTGCGAGAACTCGGAATAGGCCAACGCCTTCTTTAAAAAAAATGTGGAGACATTTGACAAGAAAAGAGACCCTGCATAAGCGGGACACATGCGAGGAAGAAAATAATTGGGGAGCGGGACATTTCATACGTCGGGGACTTCCCACCCAGTCTTCGCACCTATCCCACACTTACTTCGCACTTCTCGACCCATGCACTGAGTCAGATTCTCCACTACCGCTGGGAGATGGCGGGGGGAAGGGGGATTCTTTTGTACGAAGACTCCCCGATCATCTTCACATCCTGAGATATGCCTTGAAAGATGCTAATAATACCACCAGTTATCGATTATAACGAATAGGAGAATTTTTATTATTGAAATATACTAGTAACTGTATGTGAGGCATATAATTGATACAACCATTTTTTTAAGTGCAGAAGCAGAATTCTAAACACTTTTAATTCATGATAATAGAAATAGATGTTCTGCCGAGCCCTGGTACGGTGGAATCTTTATTGACCTAACGTTTCGACAAGGTCGTCTTCTTCGGAGGTCTGAAAGATGATTGCAGTTCTGACCTGTAAAACTACGCCGCCAAACGCCATCTCCGTACTTATCGAGTCTAGACCTCGTCTCATGCACAACGTACAGAGAGGCACGCTGGCAGAAGGAACCAACCGTTGATCCACCGTGGTGAAGATGTTAGTGGTCCGCTGCTTCCAGCGGACCACTAACATCTTCACCACGGTGGATCAACGGTTGGTTCCTTCTGCCAGCGTGCCTCTCTGTACGTTGTGCATGAGACGAGGTCTAGACTCGATAAGTACGGAGATGGCGTTTGGCGGCGTAGTTTTACAGGTCAGAACTGCAATCATCTTTCAGACCTCCGAAGAAGACGACCTTGTCGAAACAGGTCAATAAAGATTCCACCGTACCAGGGCTTGGCAGAACATCTATTTCTATTATCACGACATAAGATGCCCAGATTCAGAGAAGAGAGAACCTGGAGTTTACTTTTAATTCATTTTTCTTCCAGGTCATGCTCAAAGGTCGCAAAGACAGCATATGATATTTCACAAATTAGGGACTTTGCAAAAGACAAACTATCTCAATCCAAAAATTAGCGAGAAACTCCGTAAAGAGAATTTTGGTTTGCGATAATAAAGTTGTAACAAAGACAAGGATAATTTCCTGAACTATGAGATGTATGAGAGTCATTCAGAAGCAAATTTCACATTGAATGCAGAATGGTTTAACGTAACGTGACAATTCTTTCTAAAAAAAGATTGTTTTTTTTCAGAAAAATTACGGATGTCTTTAATGTAAAAGATAAGCGTGGAATGAATTTTCACAGCAAGCTTTCCAGTTTTATACATTCTCCAAATTTTTCCCTTCCCGATTTTGCAGTAACCAGAAACTTATTCAAAAGAGTCAATTTTTGGGGAGCTAGCCGGCCCGAACCTGACATGATGTCAGTACTGGATCGCTGCGAAAAAATCAGGATAATGTGGGAGCAGTCGTATAAAAAGCCCTCCTCCCCCCCCCTCTACGGTATACAAGAGGCGAAGGTGCGAGACTTTTCACACCTGGCCGTAGGTTTTCACACCTCGCACCTCGTAATTGCTCATCGTATGGAAAGTCACTCACCAAAAAATTGTGATTATCATCGGCCATACATTGCCAGCATTGCCACTGCTATCGGTGTTAGCAGTGTTATCTGTCTTACTGTTATTGGTGTGATCATTGTTGCAGTCTCAACTTTCCCTTCGCGTAATTGTTTGGTAAATCAATTTTTTTGATAAAACATCACGGAGACCGCAAAGGACAAATGTAAACTCGAGCAGGAGGGATCACAAACGAAAAAAGAATTGAGAAGCCTTCATTCAAAAGGAACACCTGTAAAAAGGGTGGAACCGATCGAAATGAACAACGGTAACAATGCTAACGGTGGCACTGTAACATTGTAACACAGGTAGTGCTGGTAATTATGGTCGAAGCCCAAGCAAAAACAGAGATGTCTAAACGCTATCATGTAGGCTTACGTTGGTACGCTGCGGCTGGGGAGCAGTGTGTGTTGAACTTCCTAATTCTCAACCAATTTCAGCTAAGCGGACTAAAGGGTGTAGTCTTCATAACAGAAAACCAACTGCAGTTCTCTCAATAAGCAGTCAACCGGAGCAACTGATTTATACGCTGTTAAACCACTGCCTTTCGGTTCAAATCTCTTTTTGTAGCTAATTGAAAAATGCCAAAGTTTGCCAAAGCAACCGTGCGTATACTTCAAGAACGTACAGCTGATCAGAAGACACTACCGTAAAAGGATTTTTGGTTTTTAATGCATGCTCTATGTTGGAAATGTGCGTTTTAGTGAAAGAATCACACAAAGACTCTTGAAAACGGCATTACATAAGCAACATCACTAGCGCAACATAAAAAACCAGAATTTCTCTTCCATTAATTTGATCTAGAAAGCATTTCTGTATTGTGCGTACGTATCGTGCATCCCCCAAAGTTGTTCCCATATACACGATCAACATGGCTGACTTTCGATCGCTTAAACACGTTAGCTCCAGCGAATTTGAGGCGCTTATTCGAACCTGACATGTAAGGGTGATCAAGACAGTTACGCATGGTTCATATAAAAACAATTGTGGAAAATGCAGCATATGTTCCGCATTCAAAAAAAATCGCGCTGATTCCACCAGAATTTTTGAACAATGACATCAACGCGTCTTTTAAGGTGCATCCATGCGATAATTTTTATCTGTTCGCATGTGGGACATTCAACCGAAAAGCAGCACTGAAAGACGATGTGAGGACCAAACTTGACGCTGCAGAAAAAGAAACTGTTGTAGGTAAAGGGTTTCCTTTTAATCGTTTACACTTCTACCAGACAGCCTCAAAACTTTTTTCAATCGAATTTCTTCAGCATTAGGTACATCTTATCGCGTTTTGTATAAAAGAGTTGTATGAATTACTTACACGAAAAACTGAGATTATTGAGTGCTCCAAATGCGGTGAGTGTGCATAAAAAAGTTAACATAAAAGAGACATTTGAATGCAAATTTTACTGAGGTTCTGACGTTCTGCATGCAAACACTGGATAGAAATTGAACACCGATGTGCAAACGTTCAACGGTTTTTGGATGTCGCGAATTGCGTGACTTCTTCAAAGAACCGCTGCCGCGCGAAGGTTCCCAAGACGCCATTTTTCATTATGCCCCCGCGCTTCGCCATATATTAGGATGATCCAAAAGTAATGGGGCACCTAGAGAATAAGTGCAGTTTTCCCAATAGAAAAGCTAATTGGAAGTCTAAGTTTTGGCAGATGTTAGTACACAACAAAACCTTCTGATCAAGGTCCATAGTTGGGCACGGCCAAAGGCGTTATTTTTACAAGCGCTTAAAATTAAAGCTCATCACTTCAAGTAATTTTTAACTTTGAACAGCAGCGACGCAGTAGAACAAGTGAGCCTACCAAAGATATCTGCGCAGCAATGGGTGAGGGGACTGTCACCAAATCCACGATAGCTCTTTGGTTCCGATCTTTAGAACAGAAGATATAGCATTGGGTATCAGGAGACATATTGCTTATTTTTTCATCAAGATAATCAAATAAGCTCAACCTCAACAGTTGCTTTCTGACAGTGCTTTTTAAGCTCTATCAATACATATGCAAATTACTTCGAGTTTTCTCATTTTCAAAAAATTGTGGGCCAAAATATGAGTTTTAGTCCGAAAATCTGCGCCAAACACCGAACTTTATCGAATAAAGTGTCTTTTTCTATGAGATAATGGGCAATTTCTGAATATTTAAGTAATCATCAGAAAGAGCTTGGAAAGCTCTTTCAAATGATATGCCATATGCCGAGGGACTTTTAGGTGCAGCAGCAGAAATTCGGATGGCGTTCAAAAAAGTCTGTCTGACTTCTTTGAAGCGCTGCTCGAAGAAATGTCGGTGAGGCCTGCGAAGGTCACTTTATACAAAAGCTTTCAAATTGCTGGTTGTTCGTAGCTAATCAGAAATACATCTTGAAGAACGTTTAAAAAATCAAGGTGCCCCATTGCTTTTGGATCACCCTAATGAATATTGTCAGTGAAGTGAAGCAGAAGTCATTTTGCACTTGCCCATGTGCGAGCGGTCAGGTCCAGTCAATGTGATCAACTTCAATAATTAAGCAGCGCCTCCTACACCATCGCCAGCATCATGAACCTCCAGACGGAATGCGCAGCTCTCGAAGTAAACTGAGTTAGGCCCATATTTGTCACACGTCGATGGAGAAGCCTTGCAAGATTTATCCGTTGTTTCTGATAAGATCAGTGGCCATGCTTGCTCAACTCACCTTAGGCCCGGGACAGAATTCACATTCGGCCGTCACGATTCAATCGCTAAAGACAAGTGTTACGAGTTCATTGCATGCCGATCTTCTTGTATTAGGTTGTGTAATAAGTTCGTTCGCATTTTTTGTTTTGATTTTTTCTCAATATTTTGCAAAGCATTTGACAAAATGTTAGTATGCGTTCGAAAGCTCTAAGTCTAATTTATCAAACTCCTGTTATTATATTTTCAAATTTAAAAAAGTTTAATAATAATTTGACTATACTCCGAAAAATCTGAAAAGACAAGAATTCCATTTTCGACATCTTTTTTCTTTCTTGGTTTTCCCGTCATTTATTTTTGAAACTAATTCAAAAAGCTTGACAACGAAGAAAAACAAGTGACTAATCATTTATGCACTTACTGAAACTGTTTACGATTGCTCACTTCCTTTCACCGACCGTTTAATGCAATTTTTGCAAAAGTCGGGGTAGCAAGGCCTTGCCGCAGCATAAGTTGTCCCGCGTACGTGGGCTGTGTCTCCCCCCAAATTCCCAGTTTTTGACTATATATTGACTCTTGACCATGGCAAAAAGCATGAGTCGCAGATTTTGGTAATTTTTCGAGAGGTCATTGAACATTACGCAGTGAAATTAGAATTATTAGAAAGGTGATGAAATGCTGCATCGAATGTTCCTAAGATCTTTTGAAGATGTTGATTCCACGAATAGTGGCGTTCATTTGAAAAAAGCGACATTACTTTTGGAACGACCTAATATAATGCTTTGCAACTAAGACATTCAAGCTGGTACACCACTCCCACTTTCGCGCAATCTCCTAATCTACCAAAGGGGCATACTATGCATCTCTATGATGCACAACATTGATCGTAGAGCGTGTTTCGAACCAACTGCATTTTGATGTTCTTGTTCTATATTCTATGTTCTGTTCTTGGAATATTCAAGAAAACAACGTCATCTTGCAGTTGTGCTCGTTGAATGCATTTTTGGAATGCCGCGCTTACACTGCCAGAAATAAATGGAAGACAAAGTGGGAGTTTAGTAAGGAGTTTAGTACTGCTTCAAACGCTGCCAAAGGCACCGTCCACCCAAATTGGGATTGGTGAGATTATGATACCTAGCAGATGCTGGGCCCCTAAACTGTATGATTGCCCAACTCGCGCTGCCTGAAGTTGCTTCCAAACCGAGAAAATTGCTTCGGAAATCGCTTCAGGCCGCGTTCGCGACGCTGGTTCCTCCCCTTTCGAAGTGGGCGTGACGTTCGTCCCGCCCATCCTTGCGCGCCCAACCAATCACCGTATCGAAGAAATCATTTCAACCGCAATGAGTCATACACTTCTGATTTCCAAATAGGTTGCAAAGTACCATTCGATAGAGCAAAGCAAGCTTTACAAGAAGGCTGTCTTGCCTTAGCAACAGTCTTGATCCACCACGAGTCTCGAACCAGAAACTAAAGAGACTCAGCAGCCCGAAAATTCAAAAAAAAGCGTAACTCAGTTCATAAAAATCCTACAAAAATTCTTACTTGCTCACGTAAACACTATCCACATAAAACATTTATATACGCCTTTGCCGCATTTTTGTCTCTGTTAGAAACCAAGAAAACGGAAGTTTTCGTGCATTTGCCAAAGTGATGCTGTGCCGTTCCTACATAGGTAGCTGTATACTACAAACCTGTAGAAGTACAAATGTAAATTCTCAGCTTTCTACAAACTTTAGTTTCGAGAAACTTGAATTTTACCTTGGACCACATGACTAGGAAAAGCTATATTCGGTTTTTCTCGAGAAGTAAAGCTTGTAGAGAGCTGAAAATTTAAGTCTGTACCTCTACGGGCTTGTGGGGTACAACTACCTATGTGGGGTTGGCACAGCATCACTTTGGCAAATGCACGAAAATTTCCGTTCTTGGTTTCTAACAAAGAAAAAAAAATGCGGCAAAGGCGTATATAGATATTCTATGTGGATAGTGTTTACGTGAGCAAGTAAGAATTTTGTAGGATTTTTATGAATTGAGTTACGATTTTTTTTTTGATTTTTCGGGCTGCTGAGTCTTTTTAGTTTTTGGCTCGAAACTCGAGGTGGATGAGAGCTATTGCTAAAGCATGAAGGTTATCTTGTTGAGCTTGTTTCGCTCTATCGAATGGTACTTTGCAACCTATTTAAGTTGAGAAGTGTATGACTTGTTGCGGTTGAAATTTCAAAACGGGCATCAATTTCCGGACAACCTAATACAAGGCAAAGGCAGGAAGGCAGGAAGGTCGAGGAAGGCACAAATAGTAGAACTATTGCACACCTCTGCGGAGCAGAGGTGACGCATTAATTAGGCTGATAAGTCCGTTCAAATCCTCCTTTCAAAAAATCATAACTTCTTTGCAACTCAATTCTTAACACCAGGGACCATGCTTTCTGCAGCTGTGCTCTTAATGTGAATTAGTCGGAAGAAGTGCGGAGTCAAGCAAATAGAGGGACTAACTCAAGATTGGCTTTTTTTTAAATATAAAATAAATTTTAACTTGTGAGTTTAGAAAAAATGAAACCATTTGTAAAAGTATCTACTGCTTCAGATTTCTCCCTCGCTTTCAGCTCTGACTTGGGAAATGCGATTTTTAGTTGAGCACTCTTTATTGCTCTACCTCTCAGATTTTTTCATGCTAGTTCACGATAATTTACCACTCTAATGTAAGCAAAATTCTCCATGTAATATTTTTTCACGTTTTTGAATTTCTGCTTGAAACTTCAAGTTTCAACAGAAGTTCAAAAACGTTCAACAATTTCGAGTTACTCATTTTAATTGCTCGTAACTCTCATATTTCCTATTAGCCAGATATAATAACTGCAGTAAGGAGCATAATTTCTGCTTTAACAGAAGTACATCTATGCAATTTTATCTCGAGGCAAAAAAGTTGTAATTTTTCAAAAAGTTGCGAACGAACTTTCACACAAATCTGATACAATTTGCATCTCTAAGAAGAAGACAAAAGAGGTATTGAGCAGAACTACTAACATTTCTGGAAACAGCGTGACAAAAAACCTATATGTCAGCTTCCATCCCAATCGGGCAAACATCGATGCTGAATTTCTAGTCGAAATCACAGTAAAATATAGTCTTATGCTTGCCTGTTTGAGGTCGGCGCACTATGGAGAGGTCAGTTTTCCATGCAGTGCTGAACAAGTGCTAATTAGCGTTTCTGGCAACTTATGGCCGCCCACGACCTCTTTAGCTATGTTGTCTTCTATAAAGGCTGCGGCAGGACGAAGGCGCAGAACCAATAGCAGTGAAGAGGGCGCGAAGGCGGTGCGTGCGTATTTTCACCGCCAAAAATCATGCACCTCATGCGCGCTAGCAAAGCCGCGTTCGCGTCTAAGGGTATTACGCTTTTGTTATAGCCTATATCCATCAATAATAACCCATTCGTATCGTTTCTCTCACGGCCACTAACATCCGTCTAGAACTGGGGGCTCAAAGCAAAATAATATGAGTCACCACGCATCTGTTGACTATGCTGACTTCATTTCCAGGTCTTCTCACTGCGCAGGAAGAAATAACACCTTCAAAAGCGTTCAAAATAGCGCAGCAATGCTATAAGAGCTGTTTGCAAAGCGATGAGCAATGGAATGGAAGCGGCGGACCAATTTATTTTGTGATGAAAAAGATTCACGTGAGCTAATTCATTTGATACTTTCTTACTTTGTGTTTCTGAGGAGAGTAACTATCTAACCGGTTGATGTGCAGTAATTAAAGCCCTGTTGGCTGAGACAGCAAACGCACATACATTTACTAACCAATGACCACTATCAAGAAGTAACTTTTAGTGCTAAAATCAACATTTACAATGTTTGCGCTCGCCCGCTCGGACTAGTCCATTGCATGAATGAATTCTAAGATTGCTAGTGGCTCGAATCAAATCTGACATCACAACATTGGAGGCTTTCAGACTTAGTCATCTTCTTATAAGGGAAGGATGACTGGCAACCGTGGTCTTTTGAGATTTTTGTTATATATAAGAATTTTCATCTTGAAATGCTGATCCCAACTGCAGGGTACGCCAAAATTATTTGCGCCAACTTTGAGGCACTGTTAAGGAAAAACCACGGAGAAACAAAGACACAAATTGTGCCATAAAATGCCTTAAAGGCAGTGTCCAGGAAAATCTGGGCGTGTATGTTTTTTGCCTGATTTTTGATGAGGGACTCCCAACTAAGGTACTGTCCAAGGGGCAGAAATTCTTCATTCACAGCTGAGAAATCCGTCCCCGAAAACCCCGCATCTGCGCCGTGACCATAACCCGAAAACGACTCTGCTTGCCTTGACGCTATGTTCTCGCTTGAACCCATCCTAAGTGTTACGGTTACGGCGCAACCGCGGAGTGTTTGGGGAAGGATTTCTCAAATGTGAATGGATCATTCGCGCTGCGGTTTGGGCAGTACCTAAGCTTGAGGACTAGCATTATTGATAAAAGCAAAATGGGATTTCTATTGCATTATGCTTGCCCTGCAACTGAAAGAACTCGAAGCCTCTCTGAGTCATTCCAAGCTGATTTTGTAGGGCATACTTTGCGCTATCACATAGTTTTATTTTTAATTACAAGAACTTGTTCTTTTACAAAATACGGAAATGTTTGCGAAAAATACCTGCGTACGAACAACAACCTTATGTTCAAAATTGATTGTAAAACTCCAGACGCGCAAAACCCTCCAGGTAAAAAACATTTCTTTATTTATGAGACGTGTAGAAAATCATTTATCAAAGCGACCCATGAAAAAGTTTTGAAACTGATTAAGAAGACATTTTCTGACTCTCAGGCGCTCTTAGCAGGGCCAAACCATTGGTTTCCGATATGGCCTTCAATCATGTTTTTAAAAAAATTAGAAACTGATCTTTGAATAAACTCTCAAATTTCCATGCACTTCAAAGACGAAAACTTGCTCTACCTTAATGCCCAATTCCAAAACAAAAGGAAAGGTTTTCAAAAGAATATCGTGTAAATGCTCAGTTGCCTGCATGCAGAGCACACTTCGGCTGTCAAAAGGATTCAAGATTTTTATGAAAAACTAAGCAGCCAAATTCTGAGCCTATAGCATTACGATCCTAATGGGGCAAAAGCAGATGCATGCTTACCATCGTCAAGCCCGCATTCTATCCTTCTGACACCCAAACAAACGCGCGCCTTATTTTGGCGCACCCTGTATGTTCGTTATCTGCGGAACGCTTAGTGAAAAATAGCGCTCATAAAATTGAAAGCAAAAATATTCGCACCGACAAAGACCAGACCGGCATCCATTCCAATAGCGCTAACCGCTCGACTATTTGACACCTTGAGCACATTACCACATTACTTCTACTCTATTGCCACACATCAATGCGAGAAGACATGGTTTTTTAGAAAAATCCTTCCGCAAACAACGAATACAGCTCTTTTTCATCCGTCCGCTGCACCTTTAGACAAAATCTTTGAACGGCTTTTCGGTTTAGTAGATTTTTCATTTTCAGCTTCGGCTTAGGTCATTGCTAGCCAAAGTATATGCACTGAAATTTGGATTCGATCTGCCAGTAGAGTAGCATTGCCTTTGCGCAGGGTGCTCCCTTTACTCTCATTGGAACTAAAATGCTCAGAAAAATGACGCTATCTCAGCTACCCACAAAAATTACCTGCAGCTCATCAAAAAAGTGGATTGAAATTTGGTTCAAGCTGTAAACATTTTTGACACACTTGTTAATTTGCATTCGATCTAGAAGAATATTCTGAAGTAAGTTTGAAGTACCAAAAACCGCTCCATGGGTCTCTTGCGCGAAAATGCTCATATAGGGACCTTCTCAGGACATATCGAAGGGTCCAGATTGTGCTTTAGGACTTCGGCAACTTTCCACTGATTGATGAAGAGTACTCCAATAGTGTCACTCCAAAATATGCAGTGAATCTGACCAACCTTTTGATCTATTTCAACAAAAACAGAACGACAACTACGCTGCTGGTACCAAGTGTCTACCCTGATGCTGAAAATGACACAAGAGTTTTGGAGGTGAGTTTTTTCTGCATTGGCTTCAGACAGCCGTGTATCCAGTAAAACAGCATAAGCAGATGTCATCATGACGGGTGTGTGTAATTGAGGCGCTAAAGGGTCGCCTTTACTGCCAGTGAGATTCGCGCATGCAATGCTTGCATAGCAGTGTTCAGTAAACCTAAAAAATGGGCTCTTCCGTGTACCCAATGTTTCCAATTTTAGCATCCTAACACTGGAATATTCTTGTACATTCTTGGGAGCAACAAGCCTGGAATTTTTTTTTGCTTCTTATTGTGAGGCATTTCGTTTCCGAACTCAAGCAATGACGTATTGTGGAGAGGGAACGTATAGCTTTTTGTGGTTTAGATTTTAACCTTTAGATTCGAAAATAAATGAGAACTGCAACCCACTGAAAACCTAGAAAAATTGAGGAAATCAAAAGAAAGCATGAACAGTGACGAGATTTATAAGTTGTTAACAAGTTTCAAGACTTTGTAAATTTTGCTTCTCTTCTTCTTCTTCTTCACTCTTCCAAGTTTCAACAAAACGGTTGCTCCAAATTGAATTATGGTGTTGTTTAGGTTTTGATGCACAAAAGCTTCTTGAAGGACTAAAATCTGAAAGAGCTTCTTCATCTGCATGCTGACGTTTTGATCAATGACCTTGTAACACGAACACTGCTTTCATTAGCTTGGCTTTACGCAAGCGGCACAAATTCTGAACGCCAGAAAAGCTGTTTTTACAACAAGTCATTAATGAGAGTGGTTGAGAATAAAATGTATAACGCGTAATTGTGATTCGATGATTCATAAAGAGAATTCTCTACAGCTCTCTACAGCTGACTTGAGAAAAGAAGACAGTCATAAATTTTTAGCAACAATATTACTTGCCTGAAAACTTAGATGGCCCGTCTTCACGTGGCGTGCGGGCCTCAGCACAAAAGTTTCCATCAATCCCTGACCCTCGCTTCATACATACACGATCTTCTAGGTTAACGTCGATGGCTGCGTCCACGAGCTCCAGGTGCGATAATCGTATCCAGGTGATTTCTCAGCTGGTCCATCCGTTCCACGAAAACGTCTGCCCATCGTCGGTGGTCTTCCTCGGGGACGTTTGGCTTTCCGAGGAATTCAATCCGTTGTTCTTAGTGTCCATCTTTCGTCTGTTCTCCTCATGATGTGACCGGCCCATGTGTTTCGCTTTCGCAACGTACTCCGCTGGCTCACGAAGACGGGACATCTCTTCATATCCATACTGCTAAATCTGACTAGATGTTGCGAACAGTTTGTGAACACGGCTCGGCACAGGTGGCTTGTAAGCCAGCTGGTATCGTTTTTTGGGACAAAAAGCAAAGGGGGTTTCCTTTTTGTGACCGAAGAGACACGGAAAATTGGCGACGGCGACCTTTTTTTTAAGTCGACGTTTCGTTTTTTGGGGGACTTTGGGGAATTTTTCAGGTTTTTAGAGGAAATTTGGTTGAGGGTCAAAGGTGACTTCGTAAAAATTCCCAAAAGTCAAGGGGGACTTCGTTTTTTCCATTTTCATCTAGCCACCTCGTGCCGAGCCCCTGTTTGTTAATATGGATGAGATGACAGCAACTTGCACAACAAGCTTGCTTGAACAATGTGTGCACGTCAGAATATATAGGGTTTTTGTGTGAGTCTCTTTTTGCACTGAGTTTTTGGTTTTGACAGTGTTTGGACACTGTGTGCGTGTTCTCTGCCCTGGATATAAATGGTTCTTAGGAGACCGTGTACTTGTGACCCAGATGTACTGGCAAAAAAAAATAAAATAAAAATAAAAAAACCTCGACATGGCTAGGTTCTCGCTAGTTGTTTATGGCGCGTGCTAGGCCCGTCTATAAAAAGCTGAATTCACAACATTGTACTGGCACCAGGACTTGTTCTCCGGTCATGCCATGAGAATTGGAACGCGAGAATTCATGATAATGGGTTGAGGCTGGGCGATATAGGCTGTGCCAGAAACAGAGACCCAGCCACGCTATGGATAACGGATCCACCCTTACATCAAGGGTCGGGCAAACATCGCGCGATTTCATGGCCTCGCGATTATTCCAACAAGACAACTGTCACGAGTCCACTGCATGTCGATCTGCTCACATCTCGGCTGTGATAGTTAGTCTTAATCAGTCGTGTCGGAAGACTATCATAGTCGAAATGCAAATGTTGATCGGCATGTAATGAACTGCTAACAGTTGCTTGTTGGAAAAATCGCGAAAGCAATTAAATTGCGTGATGTATTGGACAGGCCAGCCATACTATTACTGTGATTCCTGCGGGTCGCGACTGTATATTACGAAAAAACAATATATACTAAAATTCGCAAAGCGCTCCGTACTGCGGTGCATCGGAATTCGAAAAATTAATTTGCAGAAATTACAGCAATCGCAGGAAACACCTCCTGGAATAGTATGACTGCTCTCTATGCTCGGCCCTTTAGAGAGCGCTAAAGTGCTGAAAACAAGCACTTTTCATGGGTTATCCACTTGGTATTTGATCGAGTAAAAATTTTCGCCCAAATTAGACAGAGTCATTGCGGGGCTTATAGTTTTGAGATTGCGGCACGCCGGATAGGGAACGCCGACTGGCCGTGGAAAGGGCTGGTCCCACGCGGACATCTGCGATGGGCCACACTCCACACATTA